ATATAATTGCGAATTCTTTGTAAGCTAACCTGCGCCGAAGGAATTCACAAATTGGTTTTTATAAAACAAATGATTTGTTACAACAAACTTAAATGCCTAAATCTATCTACATTCCAATACGAACATTGTATTAGTGGTAATTTTGCGGAGCTAGACCAAATTTCTTTCGACTATTAAAAAGAAGCGATAAAAATGCGATCCCAATTATAAGTTTCAAAATTTCATCCTTCCTGGTTAGGTTTTCTCAAGCTTCAAAAATTACCCGTTACTGTTTAAGTTTTCGCCGTTTTGTGGTTGCTTTTCTTCACAATCATCTATTATTATAATCGGATTGCTTATTGGCGGATGTTCTCGGACTCTGCTATTAAAACCTTTTTCTTCCTGTAGTTCTCGTTCTGGACAGGTACGCAGCAAAAACACCCAATCCGGCTATTCATATTTTGGCGAGTTCTTAAGCGCCCCATTTAATTAAAAGATAGTGGGCGATTTGAAAGCTCTTCATTGTGCTCAGAGCTGATTTTTAAAGAATTCCATTAAACATACCACCTCAAGCTTCTTCCGTCCTAAATTAGACACCATTGTATTCTTGAATACTGAGTTAAAAATCACAACAAACTTACAAATACCGAAAACAAAAATTGTTCAAAATAGGCAATAGGCAGCGTTTCAATAAGCCCAAAACAAATTACTTGCATCTATTTTGAAGATATATGATGAAGATATAGCTACACATTATTTGCTTCATTGAGCCTGCTCACTTGAAGCGCAGACAAGTCTCCCCATAACATTCACTGCACAAGGTCCAGATATTCGCATCTGTTAACAGCTTTAGGTCTGGTTTACAAACTTTTAAAAGGTCGTCTCCAAAACATTACTTAACGTGAAATAACTGGCACAAGCCTGACTATATATTTGAAAGCAAGCTTTACGGGAAGCTATAAAAAAGGCAGTAATAACACATCTGCACTCAAGTATAAATCGGTAAGGTCACTGACTGAATCTTACTTCAGTTAACTGAAAAGTTTTCCGGCGTGACACTTTTCTGTCTACACTTACATCCCTCTTGTTAGAAAATTTTCTGCATTGGATGTCGAATTTATCGGAATTGTTCGACGAGTTGAAAATCGAGCAGGGAAATTGTCCCTTCTCAATCAACAAACTGAGTTTTCCGGAGTGGCCCAATTTTTTAAACAAACACTGCGGAACAAAAATTAGTCGGGCACATTATCGACAGGTTTTTCCAGCGGTTCTAGCATGAGCATCTGCGATTCGATGAATCTCGTCTTTTCACAGCTTTTTGATTTTTCTGTTTTTATCCTAAGAGGTTTTTTTATATACACCGATAATCTCAACTAGTTTGAAACAATTAATTCGGAAATTTTAACAAATGTGCTCCTGAATAGCTTTTAGCCAATGATTTCAATATAAAGTGTAAGTCATGATTTGATGAAAAAAGTATGAACTACTACTGGAATAGATAAACACTAGTCTGATAGAGTTACACTCATTATGAGCGCAACTTATGAACTTGTTGGTATAGTGGCAATGATTGAAGGCTAGTTACTTTTGTCGGAGAAATCAATCTCACGTATGTGATGAAACGTAGCGTCTTCCCGTTCCCGGTAAGTTACACTGACACTGGTGGCAGCATAGTAGTTTTTTTACGTTATTTTGTGTGGCTAGCTATTAGAAGGAGCCAATTGTTTCATCACTTTCGAGGTTTCATAGCGCGTTTGCCGGCGTTTCCCGCTTATCAGAGCGGAGAATTTAATCGTCTTTGCGGAATTGCCCTTTGTGGAAGTTCCTCTTTGTTCAATATTATGACTTGAAGCAGATCAATAGTGTTTTTCTTCCAAATTTAGATCGTATCGGCGGGCGTAATTTCCCACTGAACAGGCTCTCTGTTGGCGTTCATCAAGAGCTCGTCTCAAAACCATCACTAACAGGCAGTGTATGTTTTTTCATCAACTGTTGTTGATAGCTTTCCGCGGCGAGAAAGATTTACCGCAAAAGATACAATGACTATCGGATGTTATGTCATCATCTAGTTCAACGTGCTCTCCGATTTCCAAAAAAAATCGAACACCTCGAGGTCCTAAGCCTTCGGCGTAGGAAGGATTTTCCAACGCTTCTGTTTATGCCTTCTCAAATTCGTTTTCGAGCTCAGTATTTAACACACTGCAAGCAAAGAACAGGTAATGCGATAGAACTATAATCAATTTGAATGAGATATTAGATGAAAAAATTAAATGGAACACTTTTTGCTTTAACTGGAACTGGTTTGTTTTCAGATGCATAATTAATACGGGATGTTATTAAGTTGGGTGTCTTTCATGCGATTGAGGTGGATTCAGGCTACTTAAATATTCCGTTCAACATTTCAATCAAGTCCTTGAAAACGTTGAGGCATGGCGTTTGCTATACGATGCAGCAGCTGATAAGGCGTTACTCATAGCTACGCTCTTGGGGAACGCCTTTCACACGGTAAGGTATTTTTTTTAAAAAAACTTGTGAAAAAACATCCCACTTACAAAAAATTTAAAGAGTCAAGCCCAAGATCTCCGGGTTAAGTTTCTAGCATCTTCGGGAAAATTTGATAATCCTGTTGACATTTTTCAAGTAGAAATTTTTTCTCATGTTCGACCATGAAATGGATTTAAAAGTTAAGCAGCGCTAGAAACATTCCACGATGCTTTACTTGGGAATTAAGTATAATCTGCTCAGTTGGGGAAGCCCCCTGCTTAATAAATCAGCCGAAAAGTTTTAAAAAGTACTTGATTTTATGGAAAAGGCTGGAGTTGAATAAAAAAAATTTAAAAAAAAAACATTTTGGCTCCCAGTTCAGTTAAAGATATATCAGTCAATTTTTTATGATCTCCAGAACAGTTTGAATGATCAAATTCAAAATGCCAAGAAACAATTATTTGGTTTTTTCCTTATTTTCCGTCAATTTAACCATTAAAAAACGTAATATCTGCAAATAAAACTGATAAAAATAGAATGATTTAATCTTAAAACACTGCGTTCAAAAACTATGAGACAGAAGGTGGTAAAAAAAGAAACATTGGATTCCCGGAATTGATATGTGGGACCTTTTCCATTTTAAAACTCCATTGAGCGTACCTCAGCGAGCGTACCTCATTGAGCAAAAAAAATTCTCAAGAAAAATTGACCAAAAAATTCAGCTTTCTAGTAGTTAACATTCCACTGAAAGATAGAAATTGTTTTTTTTTACGAGTACACAGAAAATTATTGCACTCAAAAATCCCGATAGGCTTTTGTTACAATTCCAAGGTAGCATGTAAGAGTACGTGTGATCCTCTTCATGAATATCAGTTACAAATCCCGCCTAGTCCAGCAAAAGTTTCATCAATTAGAGTTGTCAGGATAATTTTGTTTTATAGATATTACTTAGGATCAGTGACACGCTACCAATTTCACCCAGAGGCGAAGCTGCGCTTCGCAAACACTTGCGAGAACACGACCAAAAAGCAGCTCTATCAAATTAAATTAAAAGTAGAAATAAGCCTCGAATTAGCAAAAACTTGGCTACGTGTAGGATTCGAATCTGCGACCTACTGCAATCAAGAGATTTTGAGTCTCACGCACTATCCCCTCAGCCACTCAAGCTTAACAACCGACAAACACTAGTCACGAATAAAGCCACTAAATATGCTAACAAATTGCCAATGCGATTCAGCTTCAAATACACTTACTTATCTTTGCAAATAATAATTTGGAATATAACAAACTAATAACAAATTGCGAGATATTTTGAATTAGAAAGCTCGATTAACCAAAGCTCGATTTCTGTAATCGAGCTTTGGTTATTGTGATGTTGTTTGTAACAAAGTTTTTTTTTCGTTTCATTTGATGAATTTAAAACGCAGCAAGTGGGTTAACTTATTACTACTCATGGGTAACTTCAAAGCACATGCTATCAAAATGCTGCAAAGGTGCCCCACCATTATTGGGGTGTCTAACCATAAAAGTGCCGCACCAATGTTTACGACTCAGGTTGGAAAAAAGAAGGTTCGTTTTAATACACTAGCTTCGCAAATGCAAATGAATAACCTCGGCATCAATTGCGCTAAAGCGCTGGTGAACATTTATTTGTATTTTATATATAAATATATATTTCCAAAAAAACTGTCCAACCAATCACAAGGGTAACTTTCAAAGCATGCCATTTAAGATTCACCTGCTCAAATTTTAATTATATCTCTCAAATTTATAAAAGTCTCATTGAGTCATTCTATTTGCTTGGAGCTCGGGGTACACTGGGGCTCAGATCAAAACATTTGAGCTTACAGAAGTTTTGCATAACTCTATTGAACAGAAGGCAACGTTTACCATGGGGATGTGGGATGCGTTAGAAACACCATGGCATGATGGTAAAATATTGGGAACACCGCTCGACAAAATTCATCCTCCAGCTGTCAGATTTCTTCAATTTTCAATAGAAAGAAAAACCCCTCTAGTTTTTCATTCATCAAGAAAAAACAGCCATTTTGTCTACAGTTCTAGAATTGAATTGAAATGAATTGAGACCGATTTGATAAAGTAAGAACCCTATTGACATGGGACTGAACTGAGATTCCCAGAATCGCACATCTTAAAAATCAGTACGTATATTCTTTCAGACGAAGAGATACAGGAAAAAAATGACATCAAATGTCAAGATTCGGCTCGATTTATGTCAAATCTTGACATTTGGTCTCGTCGCTCTAAAAAAACTCTTGGTTGGGCGAAGCATTTCAAACGTAACTTTGAGATCGACTCCTCAAAAGCGTCCATGACTGATTCAACTATGAATTTGTTTTTAGGAAGATCTCATCAGTCTGTGAACTCAACTATACAGACTACAATTTGAGAGCAGAAAGAAGAAGAACAGAATTGTTGACAGCAGAACATGATAACAAAGCATAAATGAGAGATAAAAGAGCAGCAAAAACTGTTTAACATTAGAAATATAGGCAACAGATTTGATTTCAACTGACCTGACAGCAAGTGCTACAACTATGAAGAGCAATTTGCTTCCTGGCAGCGGCAACAGCCACGCAGTGCCACCCATTGCTCCTTGGGTGACCATCAGAAGATTCCACTAGGTTGGCAAAACAAATATGCTTAAAAAGCAGATAGATAACTCTATGACGATTTTATGTCCCCCGCTTCAAATCACCAATTTTTAAATTTTGGCCAACAATCTTACTATTATATATATATTTGACTACTCCGACGTAACTTAGCACAAAAATGTGATCGAAGCAACTTTTATCAACGTTTTACTTGACTTTAATTTACATCACTTTTGGAACATCTTCAATTAAACACAATTACCAACAAGCTAGCAGATACTCAAACATTTTAAACATATCTAAAAAACGCATAATTTTATCAAAATCTTTTACTCTTTTACAAACGTTCACTTCAGTACACTTTGTCCATAGGCGCATCGTTTGAGAAAAGCGAACAATTAAAGCTATTCAAACCATTTGCGTCAGAAGCTAAATGCAACAACATGATTCTTGAATGGCAATAATAGATAAAATTTGGCACGGGTATCCGCACTTTGAAAAGAAGACTTAATGGTCATATCTTTATGTTTATGAGCTTCGCTTCATATTTGTATTGACTTCAAGGGAGAAACAGCATAGTTTAGCTCAAAGGTTACTGAGATTTGTTAGCTACGCTTCACTTTTGACAAAAACTAAAAGCATGGGTTGGGCGCCAGTTACTGAGTCGAGTGAAAAACTAAAACAACTACAAGTGAGTTATGACCTATTGGTTATACTCATAGAGTAACTTCAGATAAGGTATACCGTCTGCTCGTCACGCTATCTTATTTTCGGCCGGATAGATTCGTGCAACTTCTTAGTCTAATAGCGATCTTAATCTTACTCTTATATCTCCTAGTCTCAATAGATCTAGTGTATACTGGTTTATGTGAGTTAGTTCTTGGAGTTTATCCAGAAGGAGAACAACAAACTCAAAGTTTTTTTTTAAATTGTTCTGGTGCTGAAACTACAAGTAGTTTCAGCACTTACAAATAAGTGTAAATGTTAGAGATGGAAAATGATTGGTTAGTTATGAATATTTTATAGTGGTATTCCATCATAAATATAATTGGTCTATAAATACTAGTTTAGAACTGGTTCCACAAGGGGATTTAAGAGAGAACAAAATATGATTTGAGAGAAAATGGCAATTACGTCAGCCCGTTAGACGACAATTTGTAACACGCGCAATTCCTACTTTTTCTAACGGACAATTGATAACAGGCATCAATTCGTACGTTTTCCGAAGTGGAGAATTTGAAACAGGTGAAAAATCTCAACTAGCTAGAAGTCGTAATTTTTTCCGAAGGGAAAAATTTGAAACAGGTGAAAAACATCAACAAGCGAGAATTCGTACTTATTCCGAAGGGGAAAATTTGAAACAGGTGAAAAATCTCAACAAGTGAGAATTCGTTTTTTTTCTGAAGGAGAAATTTGAAATAGGTGAAAAACCTTAACAGGCGAGAATTCGTTATTTGTCTGAAGAGGACTATTGATAACCAAAGTTGGAACCGGGCCTGAATTTGAGGCCCGGACCCAGCCCCGTTGGAGAACAAAAATTTCAAGCCCGGGCCCGAAAACAATAAATTCCAAACAAAAAGTAAATTGAAACTAAAATGTGAAATTCAAAAAATCAAAAGTTGATAAGTCCAGTAGCTCCAACCTATCCTAGCAGTTCGAGTTGGCTGACTTTTGCCTCAACGGAAGCCCCAGCAGGTGTGAAGTGAAGTTTCAAAAGGTGTGAAATGAAGTGTCAAAGGAGTGAACTCTTTTGAAAGTCAGGCCCGGGCCCGATTGCTGATCCTAAAATTGAGACCCGAGCCCGGCCCGTAAAAATCCCGGGCCCACTTCCAACTCTGTTGGTAACAAGTGAAAAATCGTAACAAGCGACAATTCGTAACATGCAACGAATCGCAACAGGCGAGGATTCGTAACAGAGGACGATTCGTATTTTTTCTCATAGGGCCCAATTGGTAACATGCGAGAAATTGCACTTCAATGGAAAACGAAAACCCCGTTTTTGACGTATTCGGAAGATCAAATGGAATCGAGTCCAATAACGAGCGGAGCACAAGAAAATGTATTAGATCCGCTCGATACCATATATGTCCTGGAAACAGGACAACACCGATGAGACACGTCTCATGCCTACCGAAACTCCACCTCATAGGGCCGATTGATGCACAGCAAATTTATGACATCGAGAAAAATGTCCTGCCTAATAGGCAATGAACTATAAACCATGGATATGGAAATTAACCAAATTTGTCAAGCAAAGGTTACTCAGATTGACAGAACCATACACTCTCAAATCCGAAAACACTCTCAAATCTGAAAGTTGCCAACCTCCTTATCAAAATTACAGTTATCATATACACTGGACTCCCTAGTTTCATTTCTATACGAACTGTAGTTTCATTTCATTTCCAACAGAGTTTCATTTCTGTACTAAAAATAGTACCATCAATCTATATAATGAAATTACCTCTCATAATATTATGTTTCATGAACGATGAAACTACTGAACTGCAACATCGAGCTTCAGGAAGACCCTATCTTCCTTCTGTTCTCTCTTGCAGTGTTTTTCTCGACACCGCGAAAGCAACAAGAAGCAGAGTAGCGTGATATCGTTGACAATAATTTGAATTTGAACTCTTAGTAATTCCATTTACTGAAACTTAGTGGAGCAGTGGTGAAGTGGTTACGTCTCCGCCTCTCAAGCGAAAGGTCGGATGTTCGAGGCCCACCATGATCCGTGCTCGTTGCTTGAGTGTGAGGCAACATTACCCAGACCACAAAAATAACCAAAAAAATTGCATGTAGTTCTTAAGCAGGGGCACAACAGCGGTTCGCCGTGATGAGCTGTACAGCTCGTATATTGGTCCTATCCCTCGTGGATAAACAAAACTTAGTCTGGTAAATCTCGACAAAACTTTTCTATCCTTGTCCAAGGATTTAAACGAACAATGTTTTCTGAAATGAATTCTGTTTCTGATTGATTGGTATTGTTTTTACATAGTTTCTTGCAATATCTTGTGTACATCATTCAATAGAGCTGATAATTCATAGTTTCATGATACACTTCGTTCAGTCATGGTATATAATTTCAATTTGTCATTTAGGTTTGACTTACTGTACACAACTTTCGTATCGTGAACTTAATTCAACACCCTTATTTCAAATTAAGTTCACGATACGAAAGTTGTGTACAGTAAGTCAAACTTAAATGACAAATTGAAATTATATACCATGACTGAACGAAGTGTATCATGAAACTATGAAATATCAGCTCTATTGAATGATGTACACAAGATATTGCAAGAAACTATGTAAAAACAATACCAATCAATCAGAAACAGAATTCATTTCAGAAAACATTGTTCGTTTAAATCCTTCACGCCTGTAATTCCGAAATTAGCCTCTGGCCATAACCTTAAAATTAAATTGTACATGACTCGTTTCCTTAACTAATTTCACGCATACTTTGTTATAGCAGACAGTAATGGATTTAGTGGGGGGGGGCGGACACCCTCTACCCTCAGGGATTCGCCACCCCCTGCCAACCCAAAGGGTCCCACCTTTGCACTTTTTTGAGTTATTTTTTGGTGACGGACACTAAAAATTTTCTAAAGGCGCCTTTCGCGCCAATAAATACTAATTTTTGAGTAAAAGCGCGCACCGAAAAAAAAGCAATTTTTTGGTCAAAGTTTTCAAAAAAATGCCTAAAAATGCATTTTTTGGCCTGTTTTTTCAAAATTTAGCCTGTGGCGTAGAAAATGTGACCAAAACAGGGTGGTTTAAATGCTATGGGAGAGCTCGGAAAAACCGGCCCCCCTCCTCGAGAAAATCCTAGATCCGCCCCTGATATCAGAGACAGCAAAAGATGAGAAACATGTAACTAGATCACTTGCAGAGTATTTGACACGTAAGCTTCGCATAAAATTTAACTAACTCACCCTATTCGTCTAACACTACAGTCAGTTACTCGCTACTTTAAACAAAAAAAAACAATTAGAAGTGTCGATGATATTTTTTGTACATTTTTTCATATGTGATTTTCCAAGAAAAGCATAATTAGATTCTTTCAACTTCAAAAACGTGTTTTGGTTGCCAGCCTTTTGATAAAACTAGCCCCATGGAAAAATGGAAAATTTGAAAACCCGCAGAGAAAACTTAAAATTAAAACCCTTTTTCGAAACCCAACTTAGAACGCTCAAATTGTCAGAAAAGGTCGCGATATAACACAGGGGCGAAGGTGTACTTCGCAAACACACGCGAAAAGTACAAAGTAGCTTCTGTAGATAAAAAAGAAAAAAGGCAAGAAAATAAAAATATTAAAAATATGAAAGAGTTTTGAAGATAAATTCCCCTGCGGAAGTCGAACTACAGACCTTGAGCATGGAAGATCACTGCCCTACACAAATGCGCTACTGAGCGTTTACACAGAGGCGAAGTTTGCACTTTGCATACACAAGCAAAAATATGACCGATAACTCTACTGGGAAAAACCGAATGAGTAAAAAGTGAATCTTTTAAATTTCTTAAGTAACGCACGCCAATGATGACGCATTAGCAGTACCAGTCAATTTGTAAAAAAAGAAGAAACATGCCTCAATTTATAGAGAGTCTATGGAGCAGTAATAACATGAAAAAATTAAATTTAATAAAAAAAAAATGAATTTTTTTATTGAATTTTTTTTTAATTTTTGAAAATCGTCCCCCCACACGCCATATTAAGTACAAAGTGATACATTTCGCTCCAAGTAACAAACCATTTATGGCAAACAAGCTTCCTTCAATCAATTTAGAACGATTTCTATGACGGATTAAATCTCCGCTTACGTGTTAATAGCGCGAAATATATCGCGCGTTAATTGTCCCCAATTGGTCAAAATGGCAATTTTAAGACTCCCATAAATTTACGAAAAATAATCGCAGGGGAAATATCTTTCCAAATTTAAGCTCAAGACAACAATACTTTTTGAATGATACTAACAAAACCCGTCAAAAATGGCTAGTTAAAAAGTCGAAATTTGTCTAAAGAAAAAAAAAACAACCCGAGCACAAATATTCCGTTACTTTCGTTACGAAGGTCGAAACAAAAATATTCTATGTTAAAATCCTTAGCATTGGTTGTACTTAATAGCTGGTTATTGATCTTTTGCATATACTGCAATAAAAGGACACTTTCAAAAAGAGCACTTATATTTGCGACTTAGGTTGGAAAAAA